CCCAGGAGTTGGAGGTTGCTGTGAGCTGTAATGCCACGGCACTCTGCCCAGGGGGACAGCTTGAGGCTCTGTCTCAAAAAAAAAAAAAAAAAGAAGGGCCCTTCAGAACTAGGACCCAGACCTTTGAGGATGGGATTCCAGCAAGATGGTCCTGGATCTCTGGGCTGGAGGATGTGAAGAAACTGGTTCTTCAAATGTTGGTAAAACTATGAAGGAGTTTTACCAGGAGAAAGGAATTACTCTGTTAGGGTGAAGAAGTATTGCTGACCCTTCTCAGGAAACACAAGCAAATAGGAAGCAAGACACAGGGGCAAGCTGTTCCTTCATCCTCCTTCCTTCCTCCAGCCTTGCACTCTCTAGCTAGCATTTCATGTAGGCAGCCTTCATAGGGAACCAATTGGAAAAGCAGAAATATAGATTATAGAGTTCCAGCTCCAGTGTTACCAGGCAGAAGATGGAAGGGTCGGTTTGGAGCTAAGTGAGAGTTACTTGATAACTGCTACACATCTGTAGAACCAGCACTCAAATCAAGAATAGCACATTAAGAGGCCTGGCATGGTGACTCACGCCTGTAATCCTAGCACTCTGAGAGGCCCAGGCAGGTGGATTGCCTGAGCAAGAATGAGGCCTGGTCTTTAAAAAATAGCCGGGCATGGGCGGCGCCTGTGGTTCAAAGGGCACCAGCCCCATATACTGGAGGTGGCAGGTTCAAACCTAGCTCTGGCCAAAAACTGCAAAAGAAAAAAAGCTGGGCATCATGCTGAGTATCTGTAATCCTAGCTACCTGAGAGGCTGAGGTAAGAGGATCGCTTGTGCCCAAGAGTTTGAAGTTGCTGTGAGCTATGATGCCATAGCACTCTAGCGAGGGCAACAAAGCAAGACTCTGTCTCAACAAAAAAAAAAAGAAAGAAAGAAAAGAAAACAATGGCACATTACCAGCATTTAGAAGACAACATCATGTTGTCTCCCAGTCAGTACTTCAGCCCCCAAGGTAGCTACTATTCTGATTTCTAATAGTGAGGTATCTTTTTTTTCTAAAAGTGGATCTAGCTTCTTATGGACTTTTTTTCTGTTTTTTTTTTTTTTTGAGACAGGAGCCTCAAGCTGTCCCCCTGGGTAGAGTGCTGTGGCATCTCAGCTCACAGCAACCTCCAACTCCTGGGCTCAAGCGAATCTCCTGCCTCAGCCTCCCAAATAGCTGAGACCACAGGTGCCTGCCACAATGCCTGGCTATTTTTTGGTTGCAGCCGTCTTTGTTGTTTGGCAGGCCCGGGCCAGATTCAAACCCGCCACCTTGGGTGTACATGGCTGGCACCTTAGCCACTTGAGCCACAGGCGCCGAGCCTGTTTTGATTTTTTGTTAACACTCTGCCTTTTGATTTTTCTTCTTCTTCTTCTTTTTTTTTTTTTTTTTTTTTTTTGTAGAGACAGAGTCTCACTTTATTGCCCTCGGTAGAGTGCCATGGTGTCACACAGCTCACAGCAACCTCCAACTCCTGGGCTTAGGTGATTCTCTTGCCTCAACCTCCAGAGTAGCTGGGACTACAGACTCCCACCACAACACCTGGCTATTTTTTTTGTTGCAGTTTGGCTGGGGCCAGGTTTGAACCTGCCACCCTCGGTATATGGGGCTGGCGTCCTACCCACTGAGCCACAGGTGCCGCCCTTGATTTTTCTTCTTAACTAATATTGTGTTTTGTTTTAGTTTTCCTTTTCTAATTTAATTAATTATGATACACTGTTATTATACTATTTAATTTTATTTTTTAATTCATTTATTTTTCCTTTTATTTTATTATTTTTTTATCTTTGTCTTTTTTTGAGACAGAGTCTCAAGCTTTCGCCCTGGATAGAGTGCCATGGCATCACAGCTCCCAGCAATCTCAAACTCTGGGGCTTAAGTGATTCTCTTGCCTCAGCCTCCCAAGTAGCTGGGACTACAGGCACCTGTTATAGTGCCCAGCTATTTGTTTGTTGTTGTTGTCATTGTTGTTTAGCAGGCCTGGGCCAGCTTCGAACCCACCAGTTCTGGTGCATGTGGCTGGCACCTTAGCTGCTGAGCTACATGAGTCGGGCTTCATCTATTTATTTTTTGAGACAGAATCTTACTTGGTTTCCCTCAGTACAGTTGCTATGATAGCTCACAGCAACCTCAAACTCTTGGGCTTAAGTGATTCTCTTGTTTCAACCTCCCAAGTCTGGGACTACAGGTGCCCGCCACAATGACTGGCTATTTTGAGATGAGGTCTCACTCTGGCTCAGGCTGGTCTCGAACTCGTGAGCATAGGCAATCCACCCACCTTGGTCTTCTAAGTGCTAGGATTAGCTAGGCAAGCCTGGCCTCATATTGTCTTATAAGAGGGTGTTGGTGATATGCCTTCCATATTGTCTTATAGTAGAGTATTTACTTTATAATTATAGTCAAGTCTAAATAAAACTAATGAAAGGATGTTTATTAAAATTTATATTATTCTGATTCATTTTATTTTTGTCATAACAGGTTTATGAAGTTTATAAAATCTATATATTTTCTCTCTTTCTGGGACATTTACTGCAGTTTGATAATTCAGCTTTGTTGGTATCTCCTTTATTAAGCTTAGTAGCAGCCTTAATGCTTGCTAAGTGCCTTCAGGTAATTAGAATTGCCTTTTTATCATTCTTTCCATCAATTTTTAAATTGTTAATTTTTTTATATCTCACTTCTTTGTTCATATGATTTTTCTTTGCTCACAGCTGAATATAAAGAAAGGAACTTTTGTAGCAAAAAAAATGAAAATAATTAAGTTTTACTTGGTGTGTACTCTGACGGTGACATTGAATATTATAATGAAGGTAAGTAACTGAGACTGATGTAGTTAAGCAAAATGAATAATGAAATACCTTGGACTAAATTTTGATAAGGTAATAGAGGTTAAACAGTATAATTTTGAGTTGAATAATGATCATAAATTGCATATTGGATAAAGAAATAGGATTCTGATTCTTTTCTCTGTATTCCTAAAAAGAGAAATACACTTTATTTTCCATGTAATTTAAAATATTGTCATCAGTTAACATTAAGCAATATGTGAAATAAATTGAGGTAAATGAAAGGTGTTCAGAAGAATGGGTAAGTTACTTGAGTCAGATGGGGTATGATTGAAATTTCTAACTGCCCTATTTTAGTTTTGTTATGTTTAAGCATACGTAATGTGATTGACTTATGTCAGTAAATCTCTTTGCTTTATAGACATACCATGTATGATTTAATCTATATTTTTGTTTTGTATTTTTGGCATGTTTCTATCTGTAGTATTGGAAAAAGTATATTGCTGTAAGCATAGTTAACATTATTTTATTTAGTTAGTGTTTATCTCTTATAGATGCTTGTTCCACACAAAGAAAATGGGCACATGCTGAAATTCCTTGAAGTAAAATTTGGGCTAACTATGACTAAGTAAGTTTTAGATTATGTAAGTTTGCCTACATCTATACCACATAGACAATAAAGACCAAAAAATTGTCAATGCAGGACAGTGCCTGTGGCTCAGGGAGTAGGGCACTGGCCCCATGGTCCTATATACCAAGGGTGGCAGGTTCCAACACAGCCCTGGCCCAAACTACTGCAACAACAACAAATAAATAAAATAAAATAAAAAATTAAAAAAAATTATCAGTGCAGAAAGTATGTACCCGATCACATACCCGTTAGAAAATAACTAATTTGAGATATTATAATGTCTGGGGAAAAAATGACATTTTTTAAGGGCAGATGCAATGGTTCACACCTGTAATCCTAGCACTCTGGAAGGCTAAGGTGGGTGGATTGCCTGAGCTCAGGAGTCCTGAGCAAGTGTGAGACCCTGTCTCTACAAATAGCAGGGCACTGTGGTAGGTACCACAGCTACTCAGGAGACTGAGGAAGAGGATTGCTTGAGCCCAAGAGTTTAAGGTTGCTGTGAGCTCTGAGGCCATGGCACTCTACCTAGGGTGACAGAGTGAGTCTCTGTCTCTAAAACAAAAAAAAAATGTTTAATTATAGATTTCTTTTAAGTCTTTTATAAAGTAGATACACTTAAACCTCAATAGTATTATATAGTACCTAGGCACAGTGGGTCGCACCTGTAATCCAAGCATTCTGGGAGGCCAAGGTGGGAGGATGAGTTGAGCTCAGGAGTTGAAGACTAGCCTAAGCAAGAGTGAGACCGCCATCTCTTCTAAAATAAAAAAATAAAAAAATTTAAAAAATTGTATTATAATATTTTAAGCCTACTTTCTCCCTTGATGATGAACAAAGATAAATCTTAAGGTCAGAATAAATAAGATTTAAAGTTAATAAAGCCAGAATAATTTTAAGCACCATATCCGCAATATGCTTATATTAAAAAGGGGCAGAAAGAAGGCAGTAAGGTATTTATTTCATAGCAAAGAATTTTACCTTGAGTTTGTAATAATTAAACCAGGAGCTATTTATTTATTTATTGGAAACAAAGCCTCAAGCTATTCCTCTGGGTAGAGTGCGATGATATCACAGCTCAAAGCAACCTCCAACTCCTGGGCTCAAGCGAGTCTTCTGCCTCTGCCTCCCAAGTAGCTGGGACCACAGACGCCCGCTACAATGCCTCACTATTTTTTTTTTTTTTTTTTTTTGGTTCCAGCCATCGTTGTTGTTTGGCGGGCCTGGACTAGATTCGAACCCACCACCTTACGTGTATGTGGCTGGCGCCTTAGCCACTTGAGCCACAGGCGCCAGAGCCGAGAAGCTATTTTTTAATTCAAAATAATGTTTACTTAGTCCGGGTGCAGTGGCTCATGCCTGTAATCTCAGCACTGGGAGGCCCAGGCGGGTAGATTGCCTGAGCTCAGAGGTTCGAGACCAGCCTGAGCTAGAGTGAGATCACGTCTCTAAAAATAGCCAGGCAGTTCAATCAGTAACAGGAGCAGAGAGCGAACCCCAGAGAGCCCTGAGCAGCACCACCACCGCTGCCAGCCTAGTTACCATCACATCGGGAGGAGCTGCAGCTATTGCAGGTGGCCCCAGTCTGTCCTAGTCACCTTACCACAACCATGTGCAGTGAGGCTGAGACCCAGCAGCCGCTCTCCACCACGCACTCCCCACTCCCAGCCCCTGCCCCTGCCCTCAGTGGTGCTGAGACTAAGCCAGGCACCATGGGCACAGGGAGCCGTGGCCCAGGCAGCCTCACATTGGTGGCGCCTGCCAGCGGGGATAAAAAGGTCATCGCAAGGAAGGTTTTGGAAACAGTAAGGTGGTTCAATGAAAGAAACAGATACGGTTTCATCAATAGGAATGACACCAAGGAAGATGTATTTGTACACCAGATTGCCATAAAAAATAACCCCAGGAAGTACCTTCGCAGTGTAGGAGATGGAGTGACTGTGGAGTTTGATGTTGTTGAAGGGGAAAAGGGTTTGGAGAAAGCAGATGTTACATGCCCTGGTGGAATCCTAGTTCAAGGCAACAAATAGGACACAGCAGACCACAACCATTATAGGCACTATCCATGTCGCAGGGGTTGGGTCCTTCTATGCAGTTACCAGTGGAATTGCCAGAGTAGTAAAGAGAGGGAAAAAGAATGAGGGATTGGAGAGTGCCAGGCCCAACAACACCAGCCCTAACTCAGGCGAAGTTTCCCACCTTACTACATGTGGAGACTCTGGGTGTTGACCACAGTATTCCAACGCTATTGTGCAGGGAGAAGAGATGGAGGGTGCTGACAACCAGAGTGCAGGAGAATAAGGTAGACCAGTAAGACAGAATATGTATGTGGGTTATAGACCATGATTCATCAGGGGGCTCTCGTGGCCAAAGACAGCACGAGAGGATGGCAATGAAGAGGATAAAGAGAATCAAAGAGATGAGACCCAAGGTCAACAGCCACCTGAACGTTGGTATCATCACAGCTTTAATTGTCGACGCAGATGCCTAGAAAACCACAAGATGGTAAAGAGACAAAAGCAGCCGATCCACCAGCTGAGAATTCAGCTGCTCCCTAGGCTGAGCAGGGCAGGGCAGAGTAAATGCCGGCTTACCATCTCTATCATCATCCAGTTTAGTCATCCAACAAGAAGAAATGAACATGAAATCCCAGCAGTAAGAAACAAAAGATTAGAGCTGAAGACCTTAAGTGCTTGCTTTTTGCCCATTGACCAGATAACTAGAACTATCTACATTATCTATGTAGGCTGAGATTTTTATTATTTTTATCTAAAGATGTCTTTTTTGGTAATAACAAACGTGTTTTTTTAAAAAACCCTGGTTTTGGCTCAGTGCCCAGTGGCTAAGGGCACCAGCCACATATACCAGAGGTGGCAGGTTTGAATCCAACCCTGGACTGCCAAACGACAACTACAGTCAAAAAATAGTCGGGCATTGTGGCTGGTGCCTATATTCCCAGCTACTTGGGAGGCTGAGGCAAGAGAATCACTTAAGCCCAAGAGTTGGAGGTTGCTGTGAACTGTGATGCAAGGCACTCCACTGAGGATAACATAGTGAGACTGTTTCAAAAAAAAAAAAAAAGCCTGGCGTTTCTCAATACGCTTTTAAAGGTTTTAAAATTATTTCGTGGCTCAGCGCCTGTGGCTCAAGCGGCTAAGGCACCAGCCACATACACCTAAGGTGGCGGGTTCGAATCCCCAGCCCGGGCCCGCCAAGCAACAATGATGGCTGCAACCAAAAAATGGCCGGGCGTTGTGGCGGGCGCCTGTAGTCCCCGCTACTTGGGAGGCTGAGGCAGGAGACTCGCTTGAGCCCAGGAGTTGGAGGTTGCTGTGAGCTGTAATGCCATGGCACTCTACCCAGGGGGATAGCTTGAGGCTCTGTCTCAAAAAATAAATAAATAAATAAATAAATAATTTCGTATCTTGTCAAGTTGAGATTTTTAAGAACTTCATTTCTAATTTGTAATAAAAGTTTACAACTTGAGTTTTTCAAAAGTCAACAAACTGCAAGCACCTGCTAATAAAAGTCTTAAATAAAAATAAATAAATAGATAGATAGATAGATATAGCCGGGTATTGTGGTGGGTGCCTGTAGTCCCATCTAGTTGAGAGGCTGAGGCAAGAGAATTACTTAAGCCCAGGAGTTTGAGGTTGCTGTGAGCTATGATGCCATGGCACTCTACCAAAGGTGACAAAATGAGACTGCCTCAAAAAAAAAAAAAAGTACCTTTATTTATTTATTTATTTTTTGAGACACAGCCTCAAGCTCTCACCCTGGGTAGAGTGCCATGGTATCACAGCTCACAGCAACCTCTAACTCCTGGACTCAAGCTGTTCTCCTGCCTCTGCCTCCCAAGTAGCTGGTACCCACCACAACGCCTGGCTGGTTTTTGGTTGCAGCTGTCATTGTTGCTTTTATTTTATTTTTGTATTTTTTGCAGTTTTTGGCTGGGACTGGGTTTGAACCTGCCACCTCCGGCATATGGGGCCAGCGCCCTACTCCTTTGAGCCACAGGCGCCACCCCGCAGCCGTCATTGTTGTTTGACGGGCCTCAGGTGGATTTGAACCTGCCACCTCCAGTGTATGTGGCTGGCGCCCTACTTGCTTGAGCTACTGGCCGTAGCCTTTTTTTTTTTTTTTTTTTGAGACAAAGTCTTACTTTGTCTCCCTCACTAAAGTGCTATGGCTTCATAGCTCATAGCAACTTCAAACTCTTGGGGTCAACTTCTCTTGCCTCAGCCTCCTAAGTAGCTGGGACTACAGGCTCCAGCTATAATGCCTGGGTAGTTTTAGAGACAGGGTCTTGCTCTTGCTTAGGCTGATTGTATACCTGTGAGCTCAGGTGATCCACCCACCTTAGCCTCCCAAAGTGCAGGATTATAGGCATGAGCCACTGCACCCAGCCAGAAAATGTTTCTGTTGAGACAGATTTTTAAGAACTGCTGAAGAAATGTTACTTTTTATTGGATGTGCAGGATAGTGGGCCAGGTGCCCTGGGGTATATAAAAATAACTATAACACAAGGCAGAAGCAGTATGATAGCGGGGTAATAAAGTGCCATGGAACTGGGGAAAGACAAATTGAGACTAAGTGATACAGAAAGAATACTTACTCAATTAGTATTTGAATTGTACCATATAGAATTTTTTTTTTTTTTTTTTTGAGACAGAGCCTCAAGCTGTCCCCCTGGGTAGAGTGCC